TGTGATAATATTCTATAACCGATAAAATAATGGACCACGTACGTACGTACGTACAGCTGTATAGTGATAACGATAGTTTTTTTATAGTTTGATTTGTTAATCGGCAATAATGGGAATGATCAAATAAACAAAGTGACGGGGTTCCGATGAAACAAGGTAAAATAACAAACACAAAATTCATACAACGATTTTTTTTAAAAAAGATCTACAGCGAGTAATACTTAAATAAAAATTAAAACCAAAGATCGCATGGTTACTGTGTACCAAATTAGGCAAACAGCAGCATTTCAAATTTAGTATTTGGAATAAAAGATTTTTGATCGATTGATTCTATGTCACAAAGTTTTTGATTCGTTAATATGAAGATATCGTGAGAGCTTTAGTGAATAGTACAATCATTACTAATTCTACAATAGATAGTTGTACATTTTTTAAATCTCTAAATTCAGAGTACAAAGAAAAGTATAATGGCAAAGAAACTCTTTGTCTTAAATATAATCAATGAATGAATGAATTAATGATTGATTGACTGGCTGATATACGTAATTTAAACCATTTAAAAAAAATATATTATTAAAATATTACGTGGGATTAATAATAAAACTAAAGAAGTTATTTTCTTAATTTATATAAAAGTCCAACATTATTTCAAATCAATTTTTTTTAGAAAATTTTTTGAAATAATTTTCTTAATTTGCCTATTTATCTATTTGTGATGCTTTTTTAATTAATTAAAAATTTCCGAAAAAAAAAAAATTTTATGAAAAAAGAATTAGATTTGATTATTTTGTGGTTTAATTTTTTTTAAATAGTGACGTTGAATTTTTACGCTAATTTTTTACGGAGAGACGTTAAATAAATAAAATCGCAATTGTATATATATGACCATTCAATTATCATTTACTCACTCGGATATAAATTAAATAAACACATTCTTTCATCGTAGTTTATATAACGTTTTAAACCTTCGCATATATATAAAATACAATTACATAAAATTAATTCACATTTTTTGAAAAAAAAAAGATGAATCAATCAACGAATCAAAGTCATAGACCTCAATTTCAAACCAAACGTCCAATATCTAATTTTGAATCTTTAAATCCAACACGAGAAGATGATGATTCGATAATGGATGGATTTCATTATAAATCTGGTCGTCGATATCATTTTCTCGATGGTGTAAAATATCCTCTACCTTGTGATACCGATGAAACATATCGTTTAAAAATAAATTATTCTATTTCAAGATATTGTTGGCAAGGTAATATTTTCTATTCACCATTAGAAAATGAATTGGCCAAAGGAGGCATGAGAATTTTAGATGTCGGGTAAGTAATCATTAAAATTCATTAAAATTCATTAAAATTCATTAAAATTCATTAAAATTCATTAAAATTTATCGAAATTCTTTTAATTATAATTATATACTTATATAATTTTTTTTGTTTTTTAAAGATGCGGACCTGGTGGTTGGTTATTAGATATGGCAACAGAATTTCCAAACTCTACATTCGTGGGTGTTGACATTTCATCTATGATTCCCAAAGATCAACAACCTTCGAATTTGGGATTTTTGCAATGTAACATACATAATGGTTTACCATTTCCAGACGATACGTTCGATTTTGTATTTATGTCTCATATGTTCACTTCTATAACTGAAGATCAATGGCAAGATGTTGTTGATGATTTAGTTAGAGTGGCAAAACCAGGTGGTTGGATTGAATTAATGGAAGGTGACTATCTGAATTCTACTGGTGGTCCTGTAACTCGTGAAATTCAATCTCAAACAACTATACTTATGAGATCAAGAGGAATAAATATGAATATTGGTCCTACCGTTTATAAATATTTTGAAAATATTGAGGATCTCGAGAATGAAATATTCACTGGTCAAACTACTACTCCTCTTGGTAATGGAACTGTTGGTGAATTGGTTAGTATTAATTTATTCGACAAAATTTTTCTTGATTTATTTGAATACTGTATATAAATATTAATTCATTTAATTTATTCATTCATTCATTTAAATATTCTTTTTTATAACAGGCCTATAAAAACTATAAGGCTTCCCATTTTGCAGTTCGATTACATGAATACTTGGGTATATCAAAACAAGAACTTGAAGATATGTTTAAAATTTCTCAAAAGGAAATGGACGATTATAACACTGTTCTTAATATTCATAGATTTTATGTTCAGAAAAAAATTAGTTCTGTAAAAAGTGAGGATTCGTGGTAATTCTGGAATTTACCATGATAGTTTTCTTATACGATATTGTTTGTGATATTAAGATATCGCTTAACCTAAATTTCTTAATTGTATTTATTTAATTTATTTATTTATTTTATTATATATTGCATTATTGCATTATTGCATTGCATTGTATATTTTTCTTTATTTTGTCAATATAATATATTCTCATAATTTTTTATATTCGAAATTGAATTTTTCAAATTTTAAAATTTAGATTCAATTATAAAATTTTCTTTCATTTGCTTCGTCTACTTTTCTTACGTGCGTACAGTACGTAAGTACTATAAAGTGTAAAAACAATCTTCTTGTGAAACTATTGAATTGGACCTTACATGAAAATAGATACCTTAAGACATAATTTGCTTCACTGTACTCCGATTACATAAGTTCATTATTATTATTATACTAGTTTCTTTGTTTTATCGGCGTTGATCATTTCTCGCGTGGAACTTTTGACACAAATGACTTTATATTGCATTATAGATAAAATAAACTTGTTACACATATTAAGGAGAAATTTGGTCACTACATATTGAAAACTATTGAAATAAAGTGTTATTATATTGTCATTTTTATTTATGTTTCATTATCGGGATATAAAAAGGATTACCATTTTTGGTATTTAAAGAACGATTAAAACAATGAAAATTAAATTCTATTTGTGAATAAAAAAAATGTTCGTAAACTTTAAATTCATTCAAATATACACAAAATGTAGACATATTAAGTAATGATATTCAATAATTGAAACACACGTTATAAAAAAAAAACAATGTATGCATTGACATCGATATCGATATTTTGTTAAACAAAGTAATGGGCTTGGTAGAAATGCAACGCCTACTTAATTTTGTTTCTATCCTATGAAATAATTACCTTAAAAAGTTTTTTATGCATGCATGATGAAATGCTATACGTATCTTTATATAGCTTATAATAAAGCATCTATTTTTATTATGTATTTATTTATATGAATCGGCTGTTTGCCGCAGTACTGCTATACTGCCATACTGCGATCGTGCAGTACACTCAATTATGCATACGCGAACCTTTTTTTTACAAAGAGAATGAATTTGTCTTATTAGTTACCATATATTGAGTATGCATGTTCATTTAAAAAATAATTTAATTAGAATTTCGGTTAGAATAATTTAAGAAATCCCGAAAAATAGTGTCACGTGTTAGAATTCCTTTAAATTCTTTAGTACCCTTAAAAACCCAGTATATCGATAGCTAATTATAACTAAATTTGTGATCAAAATGAACGGGTATTCCGATATCCAATGAAGTTTGCATATTTATCACAAAGTGTAAAATAGTTAGGGATGTATAAACCCGGTTGGTCTCTGAGTTAAAAAAAAACGAATAGAATATATGAGAAAGCGAATGCCTTATAATACTAATAAAATGAGGAAAATAAATTTTTTATATTACTAATTATATGCGTAGATTACAAATCATATCACTTTACTAAAATTATCCAAATGTCTTTGTCTGCTAATAATTAGGAGCGGCATTTTTCTTATTATGTTTTTTGTTTAAATGGTTTGAATAATGTTTTAAAACATTAGTAATTGTGGCGGCCGATGGCTGAAACTAAAACTACTATATCTGATTGAATGATTTTGATTTTAATAATGCCGTTTATTTTGTAGGTACGTACGTATGTACGATAACTATTATGCTCATGAAACTACGCGATTGTTTTGTAATTGTTGCAACATATAATGATTAAGTCGCTTGATATTTGTTATAAAAAAAAACTTTTTAGAATAATATAAAACTGTTTTAAAACATATTTTAAAACGTTTGCCATCCCTATCAGTAGGGTTTGCTGATTTTACCCAGTTTCGATTGGGCGTATAAGAATCTTTTTTGATTGGACAAAATATAATCAAAGAAAAAAAATTTATATGGCACACATACTACAATAATAAAGCATATCCTTAATTAAAATTAATGCAAATGTAAAACAACCAATAGGTTGTGCTAAAACTTTGTGGTAGCTTTTTCTTCCTTTTTGTTAAAAAACGAACGGTTGTTTCATAAATAAAATTTTGTTATCAATGATTTCTGAAAAACTTTTTTTTTCATAATTTTTATGTACAATTTATTTTTTAATTTTAATCAGTAGCTGTAGGCGAAATCTACTTTGTCCAATCCAAGACGGGTTTCCTATGTCCCAATTAGTGCTGTAGCCTAAACTATTCGGGACGTCCCCAAACCATGTGATAATTAGTATCACATTGTTTCGGAAATAAGAACAAAATTAGCCAAAACTAATTATCACG